CACTACAATACACTCTGCAAGAGTTTGACTTTTTTTCTGCTGCTAAGCTGCATCCTCTATATTGCATGCAAAAGTTCATTTATATAAATTTTCTAATCTAACAGGCTTCCCATCATGAGGTTTTCCATCAAAAGATTTTTCCTCTTTAATAAAAATTAAGATTTTCCTTTCACTGCCTGAAATGATTCCTTGAATTATCCTAATTCCAGATTTTGCTTCAGCCAAACTTCTTCAAGGCAAATTTACAAGAGATTTAATTAATACGAAATTAACTTAAAAACTACTGAGGGGATATTTCCCCCAACGTTGCTTTGATTCGGTACATATGTAACAATTCCTTCTTTCCTCTGGATTTTTCTATTCCTATAGAAATTCAGTAGGATTTTGAAAGAGAGAACAAAGGGAAAAATCTATTAATTATAAATTCATCCCTGTATTTTAAATTCTGAAAATCTTACATGGAGCAGGTCCCAGGACAGCATCCCACCCGAGACATCTCTCATTTGCCCAGTGAACCCCTTCCTCAGTGAGCCACTGTGGATTTCAGTGACCTTGGTAATATGATAAGGGTCATATTTTCCCATGGATGGATTGTTCTGAAACAGTTTCTCCAGTGTGTCAAGCACACTGGCTGTTCTCTGGCATCAGGCATGCGTATCCTCTTGGCTTCTTTTTTTCTCTTAAACAAACTTATTTATTGTGTCTACCACTAGAGAAATCTCCAGTCCTGAAATGCAGCATTTTACCATTTCTCCCTTTTTCCCTTTCCTCATTCTAACTAGAAAGGTGTTAATAAACTACACCACTTCTCTATTCTTGCAGAAATCCCCTTCTCATACTTCTAGTTGTGACTGTAACAGAATGAGTAGAATGTCTTTCACTTTCCAAACAGCAGTCCAGGAGTGTGATGGGCATAGGAGCAAGTCATTGTTAATATTTATACTTTATTTAGAATGCAACAACCAAGCTCAAAACAGAGGAGACTTTTCCTTTCTCACCTCAAAAGTATGTGGAGAAACCCCTAACAGTGAATCCAGAAGGAATCCCAGTTTCTGATGGAAAGTTCAAGCCCCAAACAAATCTATAGATCATCTAGGACACATAGAAACCCTGCTCCACGGAAAAGACTGAACCTGAAGAGGTTTCAAGTGGGGTATAATTTGAATTAAGTTTTGTGTAGCTTATTGTCAAGCAATAATAATGATAATGATAATCTTCATCATCATCATTTCCACTGTGGAATGAGTCCAAGTGTGCAGGGAAAAAAGCCATTTACTAACAAAATCTTACACCAATTAACTTGGCTAAAAGCAATAACTATGAGACTCCAGGGCTAAAATAGATACAGAAAGAGGGGTAAATAATAGTTGACATAACAAAGCTGTTACATGGCTTAATCAAATGTGTATTCAAATATCTCCTTGAGCAAAATAAGAATTTACATCACTACATAGGAAAAAAATCTAAAAAGCAGCAAATTTCCAACCCAATGTATAGTCTCATTTGCCATTTTGCTTTACAGCCAGTGGGAAATTAAGAGCATCAACCCACATTTACAAAGGAATTCTAGAGCATAGAGCATATCCAGTGCCTACATATCTTTGCACAGTTTTTGTGAAAATGGAATATTTTAATTTTTAACATTGTTATAAGTGTCAGACATGATTTATCAAGTGTCAGAAAATTTAATTTGTGAAGGTAACAGCAACTATCACCACATTTCCTGCAGTCAGTGCTTCTTTCAGAGCATGCCAGGAGAGCCCCTGATGAAGGTGAAAGACTGTTCACTATTCACATTAATTGTTTCAAAGCAGCCACGACCTCAGCAAAGAGAATTACGGAGGATTATTCATTCCCTTCAAGAAAATAATATACAGGGAGGTATCGAGAACTGGAGCCTAGAAAGTGAGAATGGAAATAACTGCCCATGGCAAAACTATTACATCAGGGAAAAACTAAATACATGCAAAGAAGTATTGACCCTTCTCCTTGGTTGAGCTCCAAGTTCAAGGGATAATGAAGTAAAAAAGAAGAGAGAAATGTGAGCACTTTCTTGGAGTTTGGACATTTTGGACATTTTGATATATTCCTTAGGACCAGGCAATTCAGCTAGGAAAAGATGAACATAATTTGGGGGTTTTAGGACTGGTCAAGGTATTTAGAGAATCCTGCCCAGCTGTGGGGTTATTCATGAGGTGTGAGAAGGGAGAAAAGAGGAAATTCCCATTCACTAACAAAAAAGCATGTATGAAAACCAAATGAGTAAGAAACTTGCTGACTCACTACCAAAGGGCATTGTAGAATTAATCATCCCTACTCCTCCCCAAGAGGTCAGAAAGAATTAGTTTGCTGTAATATTTTTGGAGTATTTGAAATACCTAGAAACTAAATCAGCTGAAATACACAGACCTTGATCAGAAAAGTTTGGGAACAAACTGTTAGAAATGACAGGGACCAAAATAGGCTTTTATGAACAGCTCCAAATTTACTCATGTGTTTTTCCTATGAAGCTGTTATTCGAAAATATCTTCACTCTGAATCTGTGGGGAAGCACAGGATTGACACAATAGCAGCAAGAAGTCCATCTTCACCATCCCCACTGAATCCTGCTGACTTCATCTTTCAGGGCTACGAGGCAGGTACCCTCCCACTCTGACCATCCTTTGTGCCCAAAAATTTGCTAAAATAATTCAGTAGAGCAGTAAATGCAAGAACACATTTTACCATTCCTTATTTTTAAGAAACAAGGGGAAAAAAGTAATAGATGTTTTGCAACACTAGTCAGAAAAAAAAGCTGTTTCAAACTCTAGGTCTGCCTTCTTGACTCAAACTGTGTTTCTAATTTACCAGAACACGTGTGCTCTCAAGTACAAGTGTGTGTGCAGCTTAATTGACTTCACATACTTAGAGCTCAGTTCAGATATTTTGCTAGATCAATTCATACAATAAAAATTGCAGAACTAATACCACATGTTATTTAATGCCTATTAAAACATGCTCATGTATTTAAATGTATGTCATAATCTAAGCCTACAGAATTTCTCAAAGAACAAAGGTCACTAAGGTAGACAGTGAGTAGTGTGTGTTTGCAACATGCTGAAGGATGGAAAACCTCATTTATTTCTTTTCTTACCAGTAGCTGCCACTGGGCAGCCCAGTTTTCTCTCATATGCCAACATCACAGGTAAGAACTGTTCCCATTTGACAGAGTATGGCAAAAGGGCAATTGGACTTTAACATCAAGGGCTAAACCCTCTTTTGTCACAAAGCAGAAACTTATTCTGCCAGTGAATGTGAATTTATTTACAGCATTGAATTTGGAACTTATTTTCATCACCACTGTATTTAGAACTCCTAAAAGAAAACTGTGATAACAATAAAATCTTCTATACAGTGTGTGGGAATGCATTCTAGTATTTGTATGTCAAGTAATGTTCATGTTTAGTACATATGTTTCCCTATTTTTACAGTCCTTTTTATGTATCAGGGTGACATTTATGAGGCCAAATTAACACAAGTTGTGGCCTTCAGATGGGATTCAGTTCCTAAAAGGAGCACACTTCAGTGGTGATGTTTCAGCCACACATAGGGTCTCCAAAGTACAACAATACCCAGAGAAACAAAGGAAAAACATTGAGAGGTTTGAACAACAGATAATTCAAGTTCACAGCACATTAAGGTTCCTGTGACACATGGATGTGAAATGATTTGTGTTTACGTCTTGGTTCTCCCTTTGAAATTATTTTTATATATGGCTGAGGTCTGGTCCAAATCTCAGAGAACTCCATGGGAAGATTCCCACTACCTCACTGAGTTTTGGAGCGGGCTCTGCAGCACATCCATATTGTTTTACACACACACACACACACACACACACACACACACAGTTTGCACAAGAATGGAATGACAGCACATTTGACAAATCCAACCAAAAATTAAATAAAAGTCTGGTTGCATTCTTTAAACCTGAGCCATCATTCCTCAATTTAAAAACCTGCTGAGCAGTTGAGTTTGAGAGGTGGGATGAATTGGATTAGTATAGAAGAAGTATTAAGAGTAAGAAGGAAAACCCTAATTTTGGCTAAGCCAGTGATTCACCACAGAACTCTGTGCAGGTCTTTATCTTCCTGTGCCTCCATTTTTCCATCTGTAAAATGGTCACACAGACACACACATGGCACCACTAAAGCCAAATGCTGCCTCTGAGCAGCAGTTCCCAAGCAAATACTGTGCCAAACAAAATAAAATAAAATATGCTATCATAAAAAGGAAAACAAATGCTGGAAAGTCAGCCCTTAATTTTCCAGCGGTTCTTTCTACCTCTTCTCCTTTCAATTCCTTTCACTTGTACATAAGTGCATGCAGAGACAGACACACTACAAAGTAAGTTATTTAGGAAATAAAGAGATCAAATCTCCTCTTCCCAGACACTCATAAAATCACGTTGCTGCAGAATTTTCTGCAGGTACTTCCTTAAACATGGTGCTTCCCTGAGAGAATCCTAGTCAGGATCCAGATCCTTTTCCCAACTGCAGCAGCTGGCAGAGACAGACACGTGACCAGAATAAAAGTGGAGAGCTTCAAAATAAAGAAAGGTATGTTTTGAGAAAATGCAAAGTGATTTAGTGACAGTTCATAGTATTTCCTTCAGGCAAAAACCTCCCTTTTTACTTCACAAAAGCTTCAAGTAGCCTTAAGTCTTACAAAAATAAATAAAACCAAATAATACATAAGATGCCTCTTTGCACCTCTCAGACTAAGTGACTTGAGCCTCCCTTCAGGCCAATTGCACATTACTGCTGGGGAATTGATTTATAAGGGACCCTCCACAGGTATCTGACAGCTGTATAAACTATGGAGATAAAGCAACAATGCATCAGCACAGACTGAAAATCATTTAAGCAGCAGAAGCTTTTAAAATAAATATCCGAAAGCTGAATTTACAATGGAATCATTCAGATAGTTACAAAGCAGAAGTGTTCTTATTTGCTTTAAAATACCTTTGCTGCAAGAAACTGAGCCTTGGTATTCCCTTTATCCCTATTTCTTCTCAGAGTCTCAGGTCCAAAAACCAGTGTTATCAGACAGTCTGGAATTTTGCATAAATAAGTCACTAAATGACATAAAATCCAGCAACTGAATGTTGGAATAGAACGTAATTTTTAACATGGATCTTGCTCTCGCTGCATAAATTTGCATTATGTGAAGCTGCAGGGATCCAAAGATCACTGGAGTCAGTAGAGGGACTCTCACTAAATCTCTCATTAGGCTCTGAGAGAACACAAAAACAAGAAAGGTTACACAAGCTTTGTCTGGCAGAACGAGGAGGGAATTATTTCTAAGCTGACGGTGTTCTTTCTCCCACTGACATTAACAGGGGCCTTTACCTTCTGCAGTCCCTGTGGCACTTTTATCATCCTCACAAGCCAAACCCATACTGGAGAACTGAAAACACAGACATCTTCTTTTTCTATGTCCAGCTCATATTTCTGCTTTCACACACAGTGACCTCTGGAAACTGCAACATTGTTATTTGATTTTAAAGTGTTCTAAATTAGTTACAGAAAACACTGAGGTGCTCTTCAAAGCAGTACATGTATGTTCAAAATGTGCAAGGTCTTATGATGTATCTCCACATATCATGAAAGCAGAGATTATGTATGACTGCATAATGTTTTTTGACCAATCTTCCCCATCCCCCCATGGAGTTCAGTGTCTCATCCCAGCTTGGCAGCAATACCTGCACCCTGCTCGTGTGTTTCACTCACAATTACACAGGTGGCTGTGTGTCTGCAGGGAGTGATGCCTTTGGGACAGACCCTCAGCAGGGACAACGTCAATGTACAGCCACTGAGGATGTGCCCTAACCTTGCCCAAGTCCATCCCACTGATCCTTGGCCTTTTACTCCCCTAGCAGTAAGATCCTTGTCAGTGATGCCTGGGGAAGCCAACAATTCCTTGTGCTAGTTACAGAGGGGTAACATTTTCCAGTTGCCACATCGGCAAGCTCCTGGCATTTAGCTGTGAGCAAAATAACATTTTAACTATATAAAACAAGGTTGATGAGGTAATATAAAACATTACAGTGGCGCCCATAGAGTCCCCCAGGTCAGTAACACACAATTTAAAGTGCTCCAAAATAACAAACAGATTCTATGTACAATAGATTCTAATGACTCTTAAAAATGCCCTCATCACTCAGTTAATTTTAAAGAATGAAGTATTAATAGCAACTTCTTAAAGTCCTAGAAATACTTTTCTTAAATTAGCAGATTCACAGCCAAATGCATCAGTGGATGCATTTGCTTCTTTAGGATGTTGTTTTCTCATCATATCGTTGCAGAGGATATAAATCCAACAACTTCTCCATGGAAGAGCAGAGATTCCAGGTCCTGCCTCCAGCACAACTGTTGCCTAAAAAGCTCCCACCTGCAGCAATTCCACTGCCACTGCTCAGGCATGTTGGGACAGCAGGCAAGGAGCAGGGAACTCCCCTTCTGCATGTCCCAGCTATCCTGTCCAGGGATCAACCTCACAGCTCATGGCCAGACCACCTGATCTGGTGCTTGCAGCAAATGATCCATCTGCCAAAGATTCTCCTTTTGTTCCCCACATCCACAGCTTGACCAACCAGTCTAAGAGAGAGAATGGGGCTCTTCCATATTCAGGAGAGAAAAACATCACCCAAGGACTGGAAAGGTGGTCATCCCTCTACAGTGACTGCAAAGATAGCTGAAACATTTCATTTAGTCTAGATGCCAAATTCTTAAATTCCTATTTTTAGGTGGCATTTAACTCCTCAGAGTGTGGTGTTCCGAGCCTTTAATGCTACAACACTATTTACATTTTCTAGCAAAAGGCAGAATCTAATTGGAGCTGTTGAAATGAAGCCCTGGAACAGCATTAATCAAGCCAATGCACATCTGACAACTGCAGAAGCCAAATGTCCTGAATTATTCTTCCCCTTTCAGGGTTTGGATCTTTTAGATTCATCTACATATTATTTTTCAATTTTCCTTGAAAAACAGTGGTTTAATTTCAAGTCATAACTGCAAACAGAGAATCTCAATACTCCAGTAGCTGGAGTTGGAATAAATCCAGACTCCACAGTACCAGAAATAAACCCCAAAGTCATGGACATGTTCAGAAGTCAGAGCACAGAAATCTGGACTATCACAGTGACAGAGCTGCTGCTTCACCTGAGGAAAAGCTGTAGGGAGAACAATGGATAGTTTGGGGTCCAGGATAAGATTGCTCTTCCTTATCTTCTAAAGGAAAAGAATACACTGCGTAGAGCTGGCTTCTGTTGCTTGCTATTCCCAAAATGCCTACAGAGATTAGGCCATAGTATTTATTACATTTTTCAAACCTGGCAGCAGAATAAGTGAAACATTCGGAATGAGGGATAATTTTCAATATGTTTTATCCTAAAATGGATATTATATTTACATCACCAAGTATTTTTTATATTCTAACAATAAAATAATATGGTGTGTTCAGAAACATGCAAGCAATAACTATTCAAACTTTCCTGCTATTCCACATCACAAAAAGCTGACATAACTGCATTCCAATGAAGTTTCATAGCACTGCAGTGATTTTCTTTTTCTTTCTTCACAAAGTATATTGAAGTATTTTTTCCAGTTTCTTAAATCTTGCTTATCTGAATTTGTCATTATTAATGCAGTAAAAATTCTAATTTCATTATGTCCCACGTTTCATCACACTCCTGTTATCTTTCAATGCATACATACATATACATATATCCTCTGTGTTCCTCGAGTCAAGTATTCTCCAGGGTACCCTTGAAGTGTAAAACAAAGTTGTAACTCAAAACAAGTGGAATATCCCTGATTTAGTAAGGCAAGAATGGGGTGTTAGTCCTCAAACTGCTGTTGCCCTTTAACCACCAAAAACACACCACAAAATATTACTTGCCATGGAATAAGAAAGAAGAATTCCTTCCGTAAAATTTAATGAGTGTAATGTTTCTGTGTTTTATAGGGCTCAGGGTGTGAAAAACAGCTCAGTTTTAGCCCTGATGACATTTTCATATAGGTGAAAGTAAAAATAGAGAGAGACTTGACATCTTGACATAAAAGGGGTGCAGTATTATGGTGCAAGGGTACTATATACAAGTTTGGAGTAAAAGTACAACATCTGATTCGAGTTCTAGACACATAATGGTACAAAGAGAAATTCGGGCGTGTTTTCTCTTTACAGCTCATAGAAAATACAGTGATTGGAGAATGATGAGGATATAAGGTTTTGGGGTTGGAAAAAAATGGAAGTTATCCCAAAAATATTAAGACCAAAACATCTTTCTGCATAGTTCTAGAAAATACCAGTCTAGAGTCAATGATTCCAATGTGTTCTATAAGTTGTTTGACATCAGAATATTTTAGTTAGAGTCCCTAGTGTTAAATAAGAGAAACAAGGGATTTGAACTGACCAGGAAAATGATAGGATAATGCAGAGGTATTATGGTAGCATTTCAATTCCTACAAGGAAATCTGAAAAGTAAATTAAATACATAAAGCAGTGAGAGAAATACTTTTTACAAGCTGACAAAGATTTCTAGATATGTCAAAATTATCTCCTCAAATAATTTTTATAATTAACAATGTTACAGAATTAAACAAGGATGATGTGTTTGCCTTGATAGATTCTTGTCAAAATATCTCTCAAATCCACCGTATTTTCAGTAAAAAAAAAGTGATTTCAGTGAAATCTCACATTCTTCCAGAAACTCTGGTATGTGTCTTTATGGCCAGCTTCACATTTATGTTAAAAAAATTACCATTCTGCTACATGAATGATCTCAAACTCTTCAGCAAAAGTTTAAAGACAAACAGGTTTAGTTCTGATCAATCACCAGTTTTTTCACTTGACATTTTATGGCACCCAAATCTGCAGAACTTAAAAAAAAAATAAAATTAAAAATCACACAAGACCCTGAACGGATCAAAAAGATTGTAAGGCAAAAGTCTCCAAATTCTAAATATTAGTGTAAAACTGAAGATCTTGATCACAGAGCAGCAGAGAACTTGCACACACTATCACAGTCAGCTCAGCTAATGCAGTGTAACAGCCCCTCTATCCTTTCCCAGCTAAGTGGCCCCCACAACATCCCAGGAAAAGGCAGCATGACACTTGACTCCTATCAGCAGCTATTTTTATCTGCTTTCCTGATCCCAAGGAATGTTTTTACCATAGAGGATCACTGTATTTTCACAGCTATGGCATTATAGTAGATTAGTCTGAATCTCTTCCCCAGCCTTTAGATGCCACAGCTCCATCCCAGCAGCTGACCTCCCACTGGGCAGGATTGTTTCTTTTGTTGTTTTGAGGTTGTTCTGATTTTTTTTAAACCATTCTGCCTTTGCCAGAGGGATTTACTTCTTCAATGACAATGAAAGGTTTATTTGACCTCTATAGAAAAACTAATTATTGAATAAAATAAAGCAGAGTCATCATGGAATGAGGAGACAATTTCCAATACAATCCAAACCCTTATTCCAAGCTTATTTTCTGGCACACACAGAACACTTATACCTGGATGACTTCAAGGCTTGAGCTGTTCCCCACCACCAAAAGAGAACCAGCTCACAGGAGGATATCAGGGACCATATCAACACTCTCAAAACTATTGATTTCCAGCCTAGTTGACTTTTTGAATCTGTGAACATCACTGGCAATTATTTGATGAGTTCATTTGAGCATCTAATTACAGCTCTTCCATAGGGGTAGCAAAAGCAGACCCATAAAATACAAATGAAGCCTCAGCCTGCTGGGCTAAGACTCAAGAGAGCAGTTAGGAATTTTCCCATGGATTTCCAAGTGTTTCAGACCTGTCTTGGGCAGTGCTGCTTGAGTAGATACTTATGACAGATGTATTGAGTCTGTTCATGGAGAATCAAGAGCAGGGGCATTTTGCAATCATACACTTACTGTCATGTCTCTGACTTGAATCATAAACCTCTACTAAACCAGCATTTTTTTCACCAGCTTGGAAGAATGTAGTGCATGAGATGATAACCTTCCCTAGATTTTGCAATGCCTGCACTTT